GACCAAAGCTGTATTGAAGGTCCAGACTATCACCTGCCACAGGCTAACATCCTCCTCTTCAGTCTATTGAAGGTCTAGACTATACCCTCCCACAGGATAACATCCTCCTCTTTAGTCTATTGAAGGTCTAGACTATCATCCTCCCACAGGCTAACATCCTCCTCTTCAGTCTATTGAAGGTCCAGACTATACTCTCCCACAGGCTAACATCCTCCTCTTCAATCTATTGAAGGTCCAGACTATCATCCTCCCACAGGCTAACATCCTCCTCTTCAATCTATTGAAGGTCCAGACATCCTCCTCTTCAGTCTATTGAAGGTCAGACTCCTCCCACAGGCTAACATCCTCCTCCTTCAATCTATTGAAGGTCCAGACTATCACCCTCCCACAGGCTAACATCCTCCTCTTCAATCTATTGAAGGTCCAGACTATCACCTCCCTATTGAAGGTCCAGGGCTAACATCCTCCTCTTCATCAATCTATTGAAGGTCCAGACTATCATCCTCCCACAGGCTAACATCCTCCTCTTCAGTCTATTGAAGGTCCAGACTATCACCTCTCCCACAGGCTAACATCCTCCTCTTCAGTCTATTGAAGGTCCAGACTATCACCCTCCCACAGGCTAACATCCTCCTCTTCAATCTATTGAAGGTCCAGACTATCACCTCCTCCTAACATCCTCCTCTTCAATCTATCTCCTATCACCCTTAACATCCTCCTCTTCAAGGTCTATTGAAGGTCCAGACTATCACCCTCCCACAGGCTAACATCCTCCTCTTCAATCTATTGAAGGTCCAGACTATCACCCTCCCACAGGCTAACATCCTCCTCTTCAATCTATTGAAGGTCCAGACTATCATCCTCCCACAGGCTAACATCCTCCTCTTCAGTCTATTGAAGGTCCAGACTATCACCCTCCCACAGGCTAACATCCTCCTCTTCAGTCTATTGAAGGTCCAGACTATCACCCTCCCACAGGCTAACATCCTCCTCTTCAGTCTATTGAAGGTCCAGACTATACCCTCCCACAGGCTAACATCCTCCTCTTCAGTCTATTGAAGGTCCAGACTATCATCCTCCCACAGGCTAACATCCTCCTCTTCAGTCTATTGAAGGTCCAGACTATCACCCTCCCACAGGCTAACATCCTCCTCTTCAATCTATTGAAGGTCCAGACTATCACCCTCCCACAGGCTAACATCCTCCTCTTCAATCTATTGAAGGTCCAGACTATCACCCTCCCACAGGCTAACATCCTCCTCTTCAATCTATTGAAGGTCCAGACTATCACCCTCCCACAGGCTAACATCCTCCTCTTCAATCTATTGAAGGTCCAGACTATCATCCTCCCACAGGCTAACATCCTCCCACAGGCTAACTCCTCCTCTTCAATCTATTGAAGGTCCAGACTATCACTCCTCCCACACAGGCTAACATCCTCCTCTTCAATCTATTGAAGGTCCAGACTATCACCCTCCACAGGCTAACATCCTCCTCTTCAATCTATTGAAGGTCCAGACTATCACCCTCCCACCTAACATAACATCCTCCCTTCACAGGGTCTATCACCCATAACATCCTCCTCTTCAATCTATTGAAGGTCCAGACTATCACCCTCCTCCTACAGGCTAACATCCTCCTCCTTCAATCTATTGAAGGTCCAGACTATCACCTCCTCCACAGGCTAACATCCTCCTCTTCAATCTATTGAAGGTCCAGACTATCACCCTCCCACAGGCTAACATCCTCCTCTTCAATCTATTGAAGGTCCAGACTATCACCCTCCCACAGGCTAACATCCTCCTCTTCAATCTATTGAAGGTCCAGACTATACCCTCCCACAGGCTAACATCCTCCTCTTCAGTCCCCCACAGGCTAACATCCTCCTCTTCAATCTATTGAAGGTCCAGACTATACCCACCCACAGGCTGACATCATCCTCTTCAATCTATTGAAGATAAGGCGACAAAGCCTAATACAAACAAACCCCTTAAATCTACTGAAAATATAACACTATTACGATATGATCCAGGAATTATGGTTCAATAACAGTACACAAATTACAACAGGTTACGGTATGATCAATTACTGCTGATGCAACAATACAACTATTACGTTGTGATCAAATACTGCTGATACAACAATACAACTATTACGTTGTGATCACATTCTACTGATATAACAATACAACTATTACGCTGTGATCAAATACTGCTGATACAACAATACAACTATTACGTTATGGTCCAATACTGCTGATACAACAATGCAACTATTACGGTATGGCCCAATACTGCTGATACAACAATACATCTATTATGTTATGATCACATACTGCTGATACAACAATACAACTATTATGGTATGATCACATACTGCTGATGCAACAATACAACTATTACGTTGTGATCAAATACTGCTGATACAACAATACAACTATTACGGTATGGTCCAATACTGCTGATACAACAATACATCTATTATGTTATGATCACATACTGCTGATACAACAATACAACTATTATGGTATGATCACATACTGCTGATACAACAATACAACTATTACGTTGTGATCAAATACTGCTGATACAACAATACAACTATTACGTTATGATCAAATACTGCTGATACAACAATACAACTATTACGTTATGGTCAAATACTGCTGATACAACAATACAACTATTACGTTGTGATCAAATACTGTTGATACAACAATACAACTATTACGTTATGATCCAATACTGCTGATACAACAATACAACTATTACGTTGTGATCAAATACTGCTGATACAACAATACAACTATTACGTTGTGATCAAATACTGCTGATACAACAATACAACTATTACGTTATGATCAAATACTGCTGATACAACTATTATATGGTCAATACTGCTGATACAACAATACATCTATTACGTTATGATCAAATACTGCTGATACAACAATACAACTATTACGTTATGATCAAATACTGCTGATACAACAATACAACTATATTATGGTCCAATGGTCCAATACTGCTGATACAACAATACAACTATTACGTTGTGATCAAATACTGCTGATGCAACAATACAACTATTACGTTGTGATCAAATACTGCTGATACAACAATACAACTATTACGGTATGGTCCAATACTGCTGATACAACAATACAACTATTACGTTGTGATCAAATACTGCTGATGCAACAATACAACTATTACGTTATGATCAAATACTGCTGATGCAACAATACAACTATTACGTTGTGATCAAATACTGCTGATGCAACAATACAACTATTACGTTGTGATCAAATACTGCTGATACAACAATACAACTATTACGTTGTGATCAAATACTGCTGATGCAACAATACAACTATTACGTTGTGATCAAATACTGCTGATACAACAATACAACTATTACGTTATGATCAAATACTGCTGATACAACAATACAACTATTACGTTGTGATCAAATACTGCTGATACAACAATACAACTATTACGTTGTGATCAAATACTGCTGATACAACAATACAACTATTACGTTATGATCAAATACTGCTGATACAACAATACAACTATTACGTTATGATCAAATACTGCTGATACAACAATACAACTATTACGGTATGGTCCAATACTGCTGATACAACAATACATCTATTACGTTATGATCAAATACTGCTGATACAACAATACAACTATTACGGTATGGTCCAATACTGCTGATACAACAATACAACTATTACGTTGTGATCAAATACTGCTGATGATGCACAATACAACTATTACGTTGTGATCAAATACTGCTGATACAACAATACAACTATTACGGTATGGTCAAATACTGCTGATACAACAATACATCTATTACGTTGTGATCAAATACTGCTGATACAACAATACAACTATTACGTTGTGATCAAATACTGCTGATGCAACAATACAACTATTACGGTATGATCAAATACTGCTGATACAACAATACAACTATTACGTTGTGATCAAATACTGCTGATACAACAATACAACTATTACGTTAGGGTCCAATACTGCTGAAATGAGTTCTTGAGGGGGGAGTGTAACCCCGTTCTGTACAGTGTTGTATAGTACAGACTGGTACATCTCGTCTTGCGTGTTTCTTGATACCAATAGCACCTATACCGCATTCTATTTTGGTATTGATTCTGGCCAATGTGCATGTTGTGTATGACCCGTAAAGATCTTCAGTAACCCATGCTTGTCGTAAGAGGCGACTAACGGGATCGGGTGGTCAGGCTCGCTGACTTGGTTGACACATCGTATCCCAGTTGCGTAGATCGATGCTCACGTTGTTGATCACTGGATTGTCTGTTCCAGACTCGATTACTGCTGAGTGCAGCGTAAATCTAAAGTCACTCACTCACATTGTGTATACACGGGACATTCTGATCAAATTGTTTTTCCACAATATAACGTCAGAAAGTAACATCTAACAATATTAGATACAGAACTTGTTAGTAAAATTAGGTGCTACGTTGTACTGATCCTTGGAAACACGTACTGACCATAGGCGAAGTATATCAAGCTAATAACGCTACATTAAGTATAATTAGGTATATAATATTGCTGAGTTCCTGTGTCTGAAGATCTATGGCTAATCTTTTCAGGTCAGTGTCCGCTGCCAAACACCTTCACGTTTCATCATATGAGAAAATCACTTCAGAACGTTTCATCGTCTATATTTATGCGTTCGTCTTTCTCCTGCCCGGTAGCATAAGAACTTTTTTTTGCATCATGCCTGTGTTTATTCGCTGTGCAGCAGCGCTGTACCGTCTAAAAGTCCTTTCTTTGTAAGTTAACCGGAGTGAGAGTGCAATAAATTTACCATGAAACACCAAGGTACGAGGCATCAAATGTCTTGAAGAGAACAAGCCAATGGAATTTGTCAAAACCTCCCAGCGGCGCATCTGATTGGTTGTAGATAGCAAGCAGCGAAAGTGATCTAAATTCCCCGCGGCTGGTTGACCACAAAGCTGCAAGCCATGGTAGGGGAATAATCTGTGGAGGCTGTTCTGTCGACCGGGGGCTGAGCAGTGGAGGTGATAATGCTTCTAACACAATCACTTCTCGCCTGCAAAAACGGGTACAGTTCGGCGAAGTTTCAGTGAGGAGTAGCGATTACACACCGCTTAGAGAGTATTTTCGTGCACGAGAGCAGACGATAATATTCAATAAGGATCGGTGCAATTGGAGGAACGATATGGATTAATTGCCTGCAAGTTCACCAAGTGGCAAACTTTCAAAGGAGTCTGCTTTAGGTATTTCAATGCTGGGGGGATATCAGCAAGTGTTCCACTGGTGCCTAATTCCTGCAACTCTTCAATAACAGAAAGTTTTGAGAAGAGAAACCATTGGATGAAATAATAATTGAATTCATTGTGAAGACTTGGATGTACATTAACGGAACTAACTGCAAGTACCACACAGTGGCTCCATTTACCATCTGGTGATATTACCCAGCCATTCAGGGAACCATTTATCAACATCATCAAGAACATAACAGCATCAACGTAAGGTACCACCTACTGATATTCCTTCTCGGTTGGCATGTATGTTCGGATCTAGTGGCCAATCTAATGCCACTCTGTCACAGGAAACAATTTACAACTGATTTCATGTTTTCTAAAGTTCAGGACACTTAGTTGTGCAACAGTACACTTTGGTGCACATGACTGAGCTGCTCGTTATTCTTACCAGCGGATTACCGACATTATACCAGCTCACTGAAGTCGTCTATGATGGGGAAACTCAGCGTGTTTAAGATAGCTCTGAGCAATGTCCACGGTGTCTATTTTGCGGGACAGATGCTGCAGGGTCACGTGATCTTGGAGCTGAACGAACCTGTGAAGTTAAAAGGTATGTTTGAATAATTATAATTTCTGTGGTCTGCATTAATAAGGTTGGTTTTAATGGCATTGCCTTTAAAATGAGCACACAAATCAACTATTTTCAGACAGTCTTTGGAACATCTTCTCAACTGACTGAGTGAGTTAATATTTAGAGTTACACCGGCAGTATTTCCACAATACCGCGACTACGTCCTCAGCTGAATTAAAGACGGAAATACAGGAATGTCCATATCGATGTACGTCCTTTACTGAATTTATGTGAAATATTTCAAATATCATTCAGTAAAGGTATTCATTTCCATCAATATGAAAAGAATGGTCATTTCCCCTAATAGCTAGACAGTTTTATGACATGTAGAACGTATACAAAGATGAGATAGAGTGCCTGCTGAATCGTGGCGAATACCTCCAGCAACACGTGCATACCGTGCAGTTGGTCATACACTAGCTTCGTTCGGCTGTACAGCTGGGAAGCACATGGACAGGGGCTGGGGGGATGGAGGCGCCAGTGGGTCTTCACTTAAACGCTTGTTTTACATCCCCGTGCATCTGTCCATCTTAAGACTCAACGAGAACATTTCTGGCATGTTCACAATTATACAACAACTTGGCTGTACTCTGAAGGTTTGAGCACACCGAGGTGTTTTACGCTGTATTGTAATGAAAGCCACTCCAAGTTGCGCTTTGAGAAGGTTTTTATCCACATTTCCGCGTCTTTAGCCATAAGCCTGTCAGAGACTACGTGGATATGTGGCCTTCACACGAGATGTTTGTTATTGTGTACGCTTTGCTAAAGAGTTTTCCCTAGGTAATAACAACAATGTGTGTTGAACAAGAGATAAAAAATAAGCAATCCTTCCGTGCTGTTATAGGGGTCTTAAACCACCGGTACCGTTAAAGATGCAATATAATAAGGCCTTTGGGGTAGCCTAGTGGTTAAAGTGTTGGCTCGTCACGCCGAAGACCCGGGTTCGATTCCCCACATGGGCACAATGTGTAAAGCCCATTTCTGGTGTCCCCCGCCGTGATATTGCTGGAATATTGCTAAAAGCGGCGTAAAACTAAAATCAGTCAGTAATAAGGCCTTTACGCGAGTGAGCGAGTTTAGTTTTACGCTGTCTTTAGCAATATTCCAGCAATATCACGGCTGGGGATACCAGATATGAGCTTCACACATTGTACCCATGTGGGGAATTGAACCCGGGTCTTCAGTGTGACGAGAGAACGCCTTAACCACTAGGCTACCCCGCCTCCGCCTGTACGTACTATTATGCATAGGTAATGACGTTGACTGACAACTGATTATTTTAGAGTCTTATTTGACAATGAGAGATTCTATAAATAATAAAATAATTGCAGAAATATAAAAATCATCTTTCCGAGAGAAGGGTTTCACTCTGTTATCGGTTCGGGGCAGTCGGTGAGAGAGATTCCAACGTCGGAAGCTGGCTTCTATTTTGGTTTAGATGTTGGACTCATTGCTAGGCCTGAAACGAGGCAGTGTCACGTTTTAATAAGAGAGTTGTATATTGCTAGTTTGATCTAGATTACATAATGTCAGTTGAATACTGGCATCTGAAAGGTCAGAATCAAGTTTACTGTACCCTGCCACTACGCCCGTGCCGAATCCTTCCTTCAGATGCAGGAATTCTGTCAGGGACTAATTATAAGAGAAGGCCTTTCATGACATTTAACGTATCACGCCCTCCCCGATCCATCATTAAATGTCACTACCTGCCCATAACAACGTTTACTGCCCCAGTTATGGTAAGTAAACAATACCAGTCCTGTTCAGATTTGCCTACACACTTGAGCTCCAGGAGCAGCCGTCGAAGTCTGTAGCCACCTGACCTGAGATAGACGTCGTCCTGCTTCCATCGGTGGTAACGAACATGCTGGAAATTGTTGTCTCTGGCGAGTGTTCTAACGCGTTGTTCCTCCGGCTCCGAGCCGACGTCGTTCCTGAACCAACATTCTACGCCGCACTTTGTTTACTGATTAGACTTTCATGTGTTTACTTGCAACGGGCCAGCTTTTGGATCGGGATGTGGCGTTTGTACATCTCTACGCAACCGGGAGCAATTTGTAGAAGGTCCTCAGCAAATAATTACATGTTCAGCTCCGGCTCAAGAACATTACGGACAAATGGTTCGGGTTCCGTCGCTCAACGTATATGGGAATCATTTAGAACTTTAAAAGATTGAGAGAAAACGTACAAGCTAATTATGTGGTTGTCGCTACTGTCTTTTGATGTTTTAACCTAATCATTCAGACTTGTAACAGTAGACCTAACCTCATTTTCTTCATGATGGTTTGTGAGTGTTTGCCTGACTGGAGGCATTAAGGCATTATTTTGCTGAAATGAAATTAAGATTGTTAAGCGTGTAATGTTACACTGTTATTTACTCGTTACGATCAAAGGAGACTTATCTAAGATCTTGGTTTAAGCAATAACGCGAGTGCCCGAATTGAATGCATGTTAATTTGTAGCATTTACATTGGTTTAGCATTAAACGGAAGTGAATTGTCTAAGACTGTTTAGGATGGCACCGTATTAAATATATTGAACAATATTGTCATAGCAACCAGACTGAGTCAGAACTGTTTTACGCCGCTTTTAGCAATATTCCAAAATATATCACGTCGGGGGACACCAGAAATTGGCTTCACACAGTTGAGAATGGAACCCAGGTCTTTGGCCCGACGAGCGAACGTTTTAGTGAACCCACCACCCGTTATATCACGCAGACACGTGAAAGCAACCATCCATATAGTGATTCTTTATTTCTAAACTGTAGGCCAGAGGCCCGTAGTACAAGTAAAACGGTTATAATGGGCGAGTGGGACAAGCGCGTTTGCATTTTTAACAGTGCATGGTGTATAAACGTAGCAATATTCTGAAGGTGCTGTACATTTTCGGTTGACATTAGTACAGCACACGGAATTTATGAAACGTGGGACAGGACGTAAACTAAGATGCTATATAATGGATCCTTATATCCTGTGGACAGATGAGACGGACGTGATATTCATAACACATTTTGCAGGACCTGTTCTCAGTAGCATGACACACTTTGTTAAAATACATTAGATCATAATAATCACATCGAAACTGCGATAACAATACTCTTAGTTTCCTTACATTCACAACTGTTAAGTACATTTCACACATAGAATGTTGTTTAAAGAGAGAATACGAATGTGTCCACTCTTGCTGAAAGCAATCCTTACGTCTTTGTTGAACAATGGATAAAAAAGCTGTAGCATCCCCAACTCCCTGTCTAACCCATGCATATCCAAGACCAAGTTGAAACAGTGTAGTTTAATTAACACAGCCCAATTATGTTTATTTCTAGCATCACTTGCATTTTCAACCAAATACAGTAACATCTTATAGGCTTTTAAAGGATAGCGGTGAGGACGCATTGAGATGAGTTTCCACCAATGTAAGACAGAACGTTTCAGTGCCAAGATATAGATTGGGTTTCTTCCGCATTCACCTGATACAATATCACTTGTTGTTGATCTGCGGATGCCCAGAAAACGTTTACATGCTTGCAATTGTATTTTTTCAATGCTTTTAGCGCCTTGAATACCCCATACCTCAGAACTATACAATAGAATTGGCAGGATTTTAGTGTAAAAAATTAAAAATATAGTTTACTGCGTAAACTTCAACAAAGTATGCTGAAAAGTTATGAGAGCCGTCTTAGCTTAGGAGTCAGGTGGTTTATAGATCTCACTTGGCAGGCGTCTATAAAAGCAAGCATCAAACAAGTGGACCGACGTAGGAATCGAACCCGGTCTCAGCAAACACACATCAGTAGACCCGACATAGTATTTACAGTTGTGAGGACAGTGGCCCTAAATGTCAAAAGGTGGATCGATTACGTAGTCGATTGTCAGCCTCTCTTCTCGACGCCGTTGACAAAAAATAAACACCAGCAGTGTTAATATGCTGCACTGATGTTAATGCGATGCAACCATGTGTTAAATTCCATTTGCCCAACTGCCAAAGGCTTCTAAAAACCTGATTCAGGCAGCTTTTTATCAGCCCCTTGTTTATTTTAATTTGTGAACCCATTTCCTCTGTGTGTGTACGTTGTTGCCAGGTCACCGTGACCCGCTAGAGGCAACATCGGTCTGGGCGACAATACGTTGACGGGGAACACACTATTCCTCATAATGATTGGTGCCATGTAACCAGAGACCATATAATAGAGGGCTCTATTATATGGTCTCTGATGTAACACGTCGTTACACTCTCTAACACATATAACGATATACCTGCTGCAGTATCTGCGATGTTGTTTGTAAGGTTACACCTGCTCAGTGTTTTACACTGCATGATTCATTACAACACAATGCTTCTCTGACATGGAGCAATGGGACACCTAGTGTGCGTAATGAGGATAACAGTTACTGCCTGGGTAAATACTGACTGTTGATAGGCAGAGTTCTGCCATTCCAGTCATGCAGTGTTTGTTAACTTCACCGTTTCTCCATTTTCTGTCAGATAGAACTAACATACAGTCAGTAAACTGAAGTTAAGCACAAGGACAAATGCAATTGATTTCATAGAAGCCTGAGGTATCAAGGATCCAAACTGTCACAAGCTCAAAAAAGGGATGAATATCAGCTTCAGGAGCTGAGAAGTGGATGACATCGGAATGGGAGTGCTTCATTATATGTTTGCTCTGGGGTCTGTAATAGAAACTAATGATGCTATTACCTCATGCATCAACGGAGAAGGAAGTTTGATAATACTTACCACATCTTTTTACAAACCACCACTACCACCACCACCACTACCACCACCACCACCACCACTACCACCACCACCACAACCACTACCACCACCACCACCACCACCACTACCACCACCACCACCACTACCAACACCACCACCACCACCACCACTACCACCACCACCACCACCACTACCAACACCACCACCACCACTACCACCACCACTACCACTACCACTACCACCACTACCACCACTAC